GGCCGCGCCCGCCCAGCTCCGGCTCTGCGGGGAGGAGCTGCCGCTCCTTCCGCCCCGCGCCGCGGCTGCGCCGCCCCAGCGCCGGGAGGTCCGGCTTCCCGTTTGCCCTGGCTGCGCCTTCTCGGCGGCGGCTGGCTTAGCGGAGCGAGCCCAGCTCTCCGGCCCTGAGCGTAGTCGTCCTCTCTCGGGCTGCAGACAAGCAAAATCAAGGGGAAAAGGGTTCTGGACTACTTCAGCTTGTAGCTAGGATCTCAAACTGATAAATGAAGTAATCGGAAAAAAAAACCAAAACGAAGCAAAACACCAAAAAAGTAATAAATAATACATGGAAAAAAGGCAAAGAGAACGAGTCTGCAAATGCTGGACTAGGCAGAAGTGGGGAAGCTGGTCATGGACCAGCAGCTGAGAGCTGGCTGCTATCTCACCCTTCACCAGTACTTACCCACATCAATGACATACTGGGGCTTCCGTCTCTCCCATTTTACCTCTAAACAGGGAGTACAAGCCCTGGCTCTTGAACAAGCAGGCATCCTGGTGGCTGTAATACTTGTCTTTAAATAACCTCTTTCTAGGCTGCTTAACTTGCTTTTGTTGATTTTCCTCCAAGATGAGGTAGGCCAACAAAATAACCATCTGTGTACCTCAGGCGGCAAGACAGCTACAAATACGAAGTGGAGAGAGTAAGGAACTTAGTTGTCACAAGCACAGCACCCTTTGATGAGAAGACTCTGCTAACACAGACCAAACCAAAAAGAGAAATGTTTTCTGATTACTTTCCTCTTTGGTAAGTCCACATTCTGTCAGTTTGTACTCACTTGAGCTGATGGAAGAGCAGAAAAGATATATTTACATGTATTATGATGATAACTGGGTTTCAGAGTAATTCTGATTATGCCAACACCACTCCTGTTTTAAAAGGTAAAAAGGATTAGCAACAAACCAATATCTTCATAAATAACACTCTGTTGACAGACACCATGCAAAAAAAAGCACATTCTGACTTAATATAATTTGTAAGGCTTCCAGAATGTAAAGGCATCACAGAACCAGAACAAGCATAACAAAGAAAGGAAAGGACTTTTCGGAACTTATGTGTAAGCAAATAACACAGATACCTGCAACAAAATAGATTTTTCTTTATTCTTGTAATTGAGTACTCACAGTATTTCCTTTTTTTTGGTACAAAAGTGTAACATAAAAAGCTCAAAATCTACACAGAACATAGTATAATTATATCTCCTGTTGGAGCTTCTTTCCTAATCCTCTTCCAAATCCCTCACATACAAAGATAAATTCTTGCAATCCTGACATTAGGATTATTCTTGAAGTAAAACATAAGCTGTAATCTTTCTGAAGCTGCCTGCTGCTTAGAATTAGGGCTGACTGTCTGAGCATATCCATACTGCAGGGACCCACTGGGGCTCATCCTGTGCACGATGCACTGCAGACAGCAGCTGCGCAGATGCTTCTTGTAAATTGTCATTCACAATCACGTGATCAAAGAACTGACCAAACTGAGCTTCCATTTTCTTAGCTGATTCTTCCATCTCCTGTAAATCTTCTTCCTGTGAGAGAAAGTCCATAAAACTCCAGTGTTGTGTAGAGAAACATACCTGCACAGCATCTGCAAAACACCTTGGGCCACATAAACAGGAGGTGAATACATAATGTGAGTCTGCTTTGTTTCATTTACAGTTTGCTATAATAAAATACCTCTGCTACAGTGAGTTCCAGGTCTCAAAAACTGAGCTGCCTGCCATATGTTTCCCAAGGAAATACCTTGTGTCTCAGGATGCTCTATTTGCCCTAAAAAAGTTGCTCCAGTGATAAATGCTGGCAGAGAATGTTAGGGACTGGAAGGTAAATCTACGAATGCTTGTGTTCTTATTCCAAATTTTAGTTTATTTCCCCAGTGTCCATGTTACTTTCTGTCATAGCAATCATGAATCATTTCCACATAGTTATAGACTGAGGTCTCCAAAATGTTACATTTGGATGATTTGGATGCTAAATTTGATGATGATTTGCATGGAAATGATTGTGTTAAAGTGCTGTATATTCTAGATATAAGAGATGCATTTCCTACAAGCAGGATCTGTGTTTTATCTACAGAACTTAGTATAGGATTGATACTGGCACTAAGCATACATGAAATAATACATTCTTATAACTGTGAAAAAAATAATAATACTACTGAACAAAGCACATTCCAAGTATTTCAATGCAAACAGTAAATATATGTATTGACTCAAATATTGACACAAGATAGCTAAATAAAACAAAAACATGCAAAATAGCTTCTCCTTTAAGACATTTTGAAGCAAAGTGCCTCAGCCCCCTAGGTTACAAATGACAATTCTTGTGCTTCAAAGCCAATCTGGAAGGGGAAAAGAAATCCCAACAAAATCCACAGAAAAACATAATGATTAGATTTGATCCCAAAGGGACAATAATGTTTTTTTTAAGAGTTAACAGTGTAGCATAATAGAACGCATTATGTTCTGATAACAAAATCTCAGATTAATAAATTCAATCTTTTATTCCCCAATCTCACCTTGAACTTCATGTTCACATAATAATCTGTAATGATCCTGGCATTTTTACGAGTCTGCCTCATGCAGCCTATGCTGGGTGGCTTGATGAATATAATGTAGGGCTTTAACTCGTGGGTCCGGGCTATTTGTATACCCTACAAATGAAGAGTAAAATAAAGTACTTAAAGTGCATTCATCCCAGTTTTACTCCCATAAAAAGCCAATTGTTTACAACATACTGAGATCCCCTGACCTAGGAGACACTTTTTTCAGAAACACTTACTTGAAAAAGATCTCACTAATAATCCCTGGAATAGACATTGTTAAGCATCTGTAGCACACAATTACTTAATTCTGCTTGGTAGCATCATTAGGAGATGCTTTCAATCCCAGTGAATGATGGAACCGTGTCACTAACAGATCTCTACAATCAACCACATAAAATATACATTTGAAACCTGTTCTTTTTTGACTGTAAGGGAGCTACTTTTGGAACAAGTACCTCTTTATTGTTCCATGCTGGAACAAAGTATCCTGCTTTCAGAACTCCTTTACTGTATAACATTTCCTAATGCTAAGAAGTATTTTTAAATTACTGCAGAGCAGTGGAGGGAATGAAAAAAAAAACCAAAAAAAATCATAGCATATAAACTTGGTCAAACCACCAGATTTAAAATAAAGTATGCAACACAGCAGTAGTTCTGCTCACTGGTCTTACTTAATATTAATACCTTTTCCAAAACTTGTCCTTAAACCCACACCCGAAAAAAAAAATCATAGTGGCACATCTGTCCAAGTGGTAAGATTACACACCCCACGCCACAACACCCCTCTTTTTCCCCTTTGCTTAAAAATCTAAGAAGAAACCCAAAGGACAGTTTCTAAGGTGTGACCTCATCTATCTCTCACAGCAGTTTCAGTTTTTGAGTAGTACTCCACAAATCTTGTAACTTAATTTCTATTTTAAGCAGCACAAGCCACTGCCAGTCTAAGGCTCAGACACATTGGCTCTGCATAATTAGAGGGAAATATCCAAGAATTACTGAGTTATGGTGTCTCTTTACATTCAGTTAGAGGAGATGTTCAAACAGCATAGCCCAAACAGCTCCTAAGTACTAAATATGCAAGCAATTCAGAGAAGGTTAGCAAGGTTTAGCTAGACACAGCTCTAAGTATCTTAGATATTTACAAGCTCAGGCTTTTATTAGCCTTATCTTCATCAGCAAATTCAATGCAAAAATAAAAATGAATAAGCTTTTGCTTGATTACTTTAAGTGTTCCTGCTTTTACCAAAGGGTGTTCTGAGACTGCTAAGAGAAGGACAGAACTCTCAAACACTAGGGCTTGGAGGAGGAAGAAATCCCATGCAACAGGTGTCCATGTGAAAGACTAATCCTTACTTTAAGCAAGTATGAAAACTCATTTCCATACCATCCAAACTGATAATGCAGCTGCTGGCTTGGTAAAAAATGCACTGTCTCAACATACTTGTCACTGTAGTACCACCACCACCACCCCCTAAGACACATGAAAAAAATAATCTATTATTAATAAGCACCATGAGGTAAAGTGAAAAACAAGACAAAGCAACTAACACTGTTCCAATGGCTCAAGAATGTAGAGAAAATTCTTTTTCTTCCAGAAGATTCCCTGCCCCTTTACCACTCACCTGTGGTTCTAAATCTATTACACAGATCTTCCCTGCATCAAGGACTGTTCGCACGGCATCAATACTGGTACCATACAGGTACCCTTTGTACTCCCCATATTCCAGCATTCTGCAACAGTGGTGAGGAAGAAGGAAAATGAAAGAGCATTTGAGTTTCAAAAAGATTCCATTTAAAAGTGAAATCTTCAAATACAATCCAGTGATCGGGACTGAATGATGATAAAACCTACAGAATACTGTTCTCCTTTGCTCTTCCCTGCTACACTAGGCACAAAACCCATTACAATTCATCTCCAAAACATGCATTTTTTACTCATCATGGTTTTATGAATTTTGTGTTTAGAGGTTGTGACTTTACTTGTCAATGCTTGTCAATTACATACTACAAATAACTTATTAAGTCTGAAGATGTCAAAACACTTGGCACAGTTCAATGAGTGTGGCTTCTGTAGTGCTGAGCTCGTCTGTCTTAGAGAGATTATTGATGCATAGAAAGGAGCAGACACTTTTGAATATTTAGCCTTTACAGTTCAACTACTGTAACTGTCATGTGTCATCACTGCAGAGATCCTGCAATGGAGTTGTAGGTCAGGAACAGGGGTGATTTACTGCTAAATTTTCAAAAGCAGTCTGGTTTCCTGGAGAGTTAAACTCATAACTTACAAGCACATCTAATGAGCTGAGGACTAGAGAGCCCACTTCCTTTTAGAAGGATTCTGAGATTAATTGTGGAGGAGCTATTTGCAACTGCACAAACA